AAAGCCGGCGGGAAGGCGAGGCAGCCCCGCGGGTGTCCGGCCGGGAGCCGCTGGCTCTGTTCTGTGGCGGGGGCTGCAGCCGCACAGGTGCGAGAAGGCTCCTGCTAGGAAGGAGCGGTTTGAAACATCTGAGTATGTTTCAGTAGAATATGTTTTAGAAATGCATTTGAGGAGGGGGGGTTAAGACAAGGGGGAATAGCTTCACAGTGAAAGAAGGGCAGCTTTATGTTAGATAATAGGAATAAATTCTTCGCTGTGATAGTAGCAAGGTGCTGAAACAGGATGCCCAGAGAAGCTGTGGGTGCTCCATTCTTGGAAGTGTTCATAGTGAGCTTGGATGGAGCTCAGAGTAACCTGGTCTAGTGGAAGGTGTCTCTGCCCATGGCAGGAGGGTTGGAACTGGATGTTCTTTTAAAGTCTCTTCTAACCCAAACCATTCTAGGATTCTGTGAAGTTTTCGTAGGGTGTCACAAGACCATCAGCTGAATTTTCCCATCTCTTCTATAAGCATGTGCAGTAACTGTAGGTTCCCCTTTTCTACCCTTTCCATGTTCTTCACCGAGATTTTTTGTTTTGTTATTTATTTTTTATTATGTCACGGAGGAAAAAGAAACAAACATCATTTGAGCCATATTATAAATGACAAATGTAGTTATTGGCTTTTGCATTTATGTGTTAGGTTTTGCAAGTTATTATTGGTCACAAATATTCTGATATAGTATAATTTGCATTTCTTTTTAACTGCTTTTTGTATAATATAATCTGTCAATTTATGTACGTACCATATAGCTTATATAATAATAGTGTGATAAATATATATTGTGTCTTAGGCCTTAGCATAATATTAAAATAAAAACTATATAATTTTTTTTTGTGTAACTAGCTCAGATAATGATGTGAAATAGCTAAGTTGTTTCTCACATTTGTGGACCATCTTATCTGAATGATAGGATAACAGTGATAAGAACCAGGACACAAGAGGAAAAATTTTCTACTGACTCTCTGGTTATTAGGAAGTGTCAAAACAACAGAATGGAGCCTCAAGAAGAAATAAAATATATTGATTTGATCTACAAGATGGCATGCAGACAAGTTAAAACCAAGCAAAAGAGTTCCTAGAATGTGTAAACTCACAGGAATGTTTGAATATGTGCAAACTCTTATGAATATGTGTGTCCCCTGTAATGTTACAGTGTATAATAACATTGTTTAAGCTAACGGTGTGTTTTTGGCATATTGCTAAACACCCCAGCACTGGATATTGTCCCTTTTATCCCTTATTAAACTCTTAAAGTTTCAGAGAGAGCGCTCTGTTTCTCACAAGCCAAAAATGCAACATTTCATGAACTGTGTAAAGCCAAGTGTGTGTCAATTGGGTAACCATGACCTTTGTGCAGGATACATGAAGGAGAGCTCCTTTGGCAGGGTTGGGTTTGTGTTCTTTGCTCTGCAGCATTCTGCTGTGAAAAGCTCTGGAGTTGTGACAGTGGGGTAGCCTGCTCTGGGGCTGAACGTGTGAGAAATATTAGAAAAGAAAACTGCTTTCCTCTTTAGCTGGCAGGATCCAGCTGAGAATAGAGACTGTTGATCATATGGGAGTTTGTCTGTGCTCTAAAAAACTTAAATGTAAGTTTTAATGTCAAAGATGTAAAAAAAAAATGAAGCTGTTGTCACTCTAGTACAAAGAGGACCCTTGGGCTGAGAGAGATGCAGTGACAGCTTTAGTTTCCTGCAGTCTGTGGCATATCCTGGCACTGAAGCTTTGGGCACTGCCTGTCTGCTGAACCACAGGATTATCTCTCACTTTAGTTCCCTCTGTTAGGCAGCATTGAGCCTTATTCCAGTTTTTAAGACCAGGAAAAAAAAAATTAAAAAGCTACTTTTCAAAGCATGGCCTTGAATGCAATATTTAAGAACTTGAGAAGTCTGAGAGTTGAGAAGGAAGGACTCTGGTGATTGTTTTTAATGTGGTATTTTTCTCCACTTTATCTCTGCAGGACAGCTGCTTAGCACAAGCTGATTTGCTCTATACGTACTTCAGAGTAACTGTGGCTGACATAGACTGAACACATGCATCCAGTTCCAAAATCTGCCTGGGAAAATAGATTATATCTGCTGTTTGCTTTTGATTAATGAGGTAGGAAAAACAGATAACAATTAATCCTAAAGCTGTTACAGACTACATGTGATACACAGCTGTCATTAGAGGGATATCAAAGACTTTAGGCTCCAAAGCAGAGAATTGTGGCATTTGTGCAGATGTTTTGCATCTATAGGCCAAATGGTAGATGTTCTAGTCCCTTATACATTTGGTTAGTATGGATAAAATTACCTAATACTAGTAGTATTTTTAATAAAAGTATGGCTTTGAGTTATCATTCATATGTTTTTACACAATCAGTAGAAGTGTTTTGTTAGTCTGTAAACAACTCAAGATGAAATTAATTTGTGTGCAATGTCAAGCAATTATAGTTAATAAATTTTCCCTTTTTTTGATTGACAGGGTGAATAGGTTATAGAGAACAAAATTTGTTCTTAATTTATTTTTTTGACTACTTTGCCACAGAGTTTGCATATACATTTTATGAAGAGTGAGAATCCTTATCTAACAGCAGAGTTTTAAAATTTTACTTAGTATGTGACAAGAAATAATTCATCCCGTGTTTTTTTGTGGATGGGAAGACAAAACCCTATCAAACTTTCCTTTTTCTGTGTTTAAAAATAAAATGTAAGCTTTCAAAAGATGCATCAGGTAGCAGATAGGGTTATTGTAGAGGAATGAAGAAAAGTCTTTTTCTGGATAATAAAAATTTGCATATTTTCATAGCTGGTAATCAGTTACCCTGTGTTTAATAGTTTGGTTGAGCTGGAAGAATAAGTGGTGGAGACTAAGAAAGAGGATGAATTCTGAGGCCTTGGAAGGTCCTCTAGGAACTGAGGAGTGTGAGATGGTTCCAGCTACAAGAGCAGCTTTGGATGCTGACAGATGTAAATTGCAAGAGTCACAAAGGGGACTTAAAAACCAAAATATGTGGAATTCATGAGGCGGTAGCTGGGTAGTGGTAGAAGTTGAGTTTAGACAGAGGAAGAGTAGAAAATGGGAGACTCAGAACAAAGACTGGATTTTATTTCATTAGAGAAAATCAAAAAAAGACCATTGACTAATACAATTACTGAAGTGACAAACCAGCACATTTGGAACAGCAAATGAGACTTTAACAGTGGATTCTTTTTATATTTAGTTAACTATAAATGCTGAAGGAAGGGTTAGGAGACTTAAAATATAGGATAGAAAATCAGTGGTTTGTGAAAATACTGTGGAAGTGTCATGATGTGCTAAGGTTATCTGTTAACTTAGTAAACATCTCTGGAAGGAACTCTTCATTCAGAAATAGTTTGGACACGTGTACCAGCTGGTCTTTATGATATTTCATTAAATACATTGTGACAGGTTGTAAACATTGGAGGAGAGTGGAATTAACTTCTAAACTCTGGCAAGCAATAAAATTTACCACAGTTAGGAACTTCTAACAATTGTAGTAGTTCTAGTGTAGTTATTGGCAGTTTTTGTAGCAGATAAAATATAAGCCAAATAACCAGTCTTTATTCTTGTGGTCTTGTCTATGATGCACATGGGCAATGTCATACAAACACTCCCTTTGGCCTTAGTGCAGTTTTATATTGACAGCAAGTGTTGCGGGGCCAAAGTGTATGTGCTGAATGCTTTTGCACAATAACTGAAACAGCTGGGAAACTGAGACACCAGAGCTTTTCACAGTAATGGAGATATTAAACTAGAACAGCTTTTTTTTTCTAGTTTGATACACACTGCAAGCAATGTATGAAGCTGCCAAACATAAAACATTTTCCATCCTTAGAGAATTAAAAACTAGACACAGTAGAACATATCACAAGTTGCAGTAGGAGTACTTCACAGAATCATTGTGAGCATATAGAAGCATTTCTATCTTCAATTTGCAGACTTCTTTTTTATTTTTCTAAGGAAGTTCTAACTCTGCTGATGATAAAAAAAATCTTCAGTGTTAAGATCTTAAACAACCATAAAAAACTGTCCTGTGTATAGATATCCAAAATTCTTGTCTTGGAAAACTGCAAGACTATACCATTGTGTTAACTGGCCTTGCTCATAGCAAAATAAAACAAGAAGTGAAGGGTTCTTTTCATTTCAGTGTTTCAAAGTCACCCATGAGGACAAGCAGCAGCTAATGCTGCAAAATGTTCTTGTCAAGGCTGTAGCGATGAGAAAAATTACTGGGTTTAATTAAATTTTTTGAATATTTTTATGTTCCTCATGATCAGCTTTTTCTGAAGGTGCCAGTGTGTTATTACTGTGATGAGCTCTGACTACGCTGTTTTTCTTGGAGAAGGCAAACAGACTCTTTGTTTCTGTTATTCATAGATAGTCTCCCCTAAGTATATTTACAGTATGGCTCACAAGCATGAAATTATTTTCTTATCCATGAAAGGAAACCTGGACATATGGTACTTTTTTCCTGTTTACTCCTTATCTTTCTAAATTCAGTTGCCACATGGATATTTTCCTGTGTCTGTCAAAATAGGAGTTTTTAAGTTTTTACTCAGCCCTTTCTTCCCACATAATTCTAATTGTTTGGTTGCTATTTGAATGTATAGCAGATGTAGCTCTAGCTGAACTGATTCTCAGCTGTGTTTTTTCTTGGGCTGTGGGACATTAAGGAGTGGAGCACAAGTGCTGGTCTGTTGCTTTGATCTTACAGCGCTGTCTGGCACAGGGAGTATCCCATGCTCTTGGCACTGGATTGAGGGTAGAGGCTGCAGAAAGATGAAGTACATCACATGGATTGGTCAGTGTCAGAGTCCTTATGGCTTTTTCACTAGGCAGATGAAAAGAAACACTGCATTTCAACTCAACTTTGACAAATTTGCAGATGCAATACAAAGTGGTTATCCCATATTTAGTGGTTACTATACATCTTTATTATGTTAGCTGAACTTACTCTTTTTGGTAAGAAAAGTTTCTTCTAAGAATAGGTTATATTCACTACAAGAGTTTAACTTGCTTTTTCTTTATGCAAAACAAAATCTGAGAATTTTTTTTCTTTTTTTGCTAGATTGTGACTGTCTGTTTACCTTTTACTCTCCACACAAGGTAATGACATGTCTTTAGCTTTTGTCTTTCAGATCTCCTTATGTGGTCATGTAGATGTGTTTATTTCAGCCTTAAAATTGCTGATGCAAATCCTTGCTATGGCATCTGTGGCTTCACCAGTTATATTTAAGGAATTTTGTCCCTTGTATTATCTCCTCAATGCCATTCCTACAAAGATCCAGAAAGGCTTTCGCTCTATTGTGGTTTACCTCACAGCACTTGATACCAATGGAGATTACATTGCTGTGGGAAGCAGCATTGGAATGCTTTATCTCTACTGCAGACACATAAACCAGATGAAAAAATACAATTTTGAGGTAAATACTAACTTTCACTGTTGTCTCTGCTGATGAAGCTGAAATGCTCAGAATTGAGCTCTCTGTTGGTGTCTCATTAACTTGTGAGTTCTTTGTATGGTTTGTTTCAACAGGGGAGGTGTGAATCTATAACTTTTGTAAAGCTATTGAGTTGTTTTGATGATCTGGTTGCTGTTGGTACAGCCTCAGGTCGGGTTGCAGTTTTCCAGCTTGTGTCTTCCTTACCTGGAAGGAACAAACAGGTAAATATTTTCAGTTGCCTAAATCTCTGTGAGGTCTAGTATGGCCAGTTCTAGTAGAATGTTACTGTGATCCTTTGTGAGAGTGAAACCCAGCCAATCTTGCCTGATGAAATAGCTGTTATTATGTTTTAGGCTTTGTATGTTAAGCTCATAAAACAGAAATATTAAAACATGCTTTGACAGAAGATGTATTTAATCAAATATGTTTCTGAGAGATTTCTGGTGTGTAATATAATTGGCTGATCTCTTTGGTGGAGTGGGGTTTTGAATTGTTACAGGATTTCTGTGCTAAATAAACTTTAGAAGGACCCACACTTTTGTACTTGATCTTAAGTTTAACCAATTAGGAGCCACTGATTATTAGGCTTTGTGCATGCATTTTCTCTTCAGCTCATTCTTCTATTGCTTTGTTACTGTTTCACAGCTTCGCAGATTTGATGTTGCTGGCATCCACAAAAGCAGCATTACAGCTTTAGCTTGGAGTCCCAATGGAATGAAATTATTCTCTGGAGATGACAAAGGAAAAATTGTCTACTCTGCACTAGACCTAGACCAGGTGAGCGTTTGTTACAGAGACCTTAATTCACATTTGCACTTCCTGAAAGGATGCTTGTATGTTTAAATATTTAGCAGTTACTTAATTGCGTAGTGTTACGTGTTTAGTTGGATGGCTTTATTGGTATGTGTACACTTGGCCCAGTGTGTGCACACCCAGCGAGGCAACCATTGGGTATCTTTCAGAACTGCCTTATCTTTTTTAAAAGGTAATGCATTTTAAAAGAAGTAGTGATCCTTCTCATTTTTCATGAAATAACTATCAAATCTTTCTTCAACTTTCAGCCAGTACTTTCTCTTTTGTTTGGAAGGGGTATTTTTGACTGATGTGGCTCTATTGGTGAAGTACTTCTCCCAGAATTGTTCAGCATCTCAGTCTAGAGTGTAGAATGAAGGTAACATCTGGGTGCTGCTGGCTGAGTTGCATGTTACCAGTAAATGGAATTTTTCTCACATTTTGTTAGTTAATACAGATCTGAGATGTTAACAAATTTAATGCTAACTTGAATTTTTAAATGGGAGAAAAGTTTCTGTTGATTTCAAGAGAAAAGTATTAGCTAATATTACAAGAGACACTACATTTCATAGTGTGTCACACACAATCTTTCTTCTTGCCTATGTAAATTAAGTCCATATTCATTAAGTGAATTTCATGCAACAGGAGTACAAAAGCTTTTTATTTTCTTTTTTTTTCTCTTGGGCTTATAAATTTCTTTGAAGTGTTAGTTACCACCTTGTATTTTTAGGAGGGTTTGACTCTTGTGAATTGTGTGTGTCTTTGAAAGGGTATTTGCAACTCCAGCCTTGTATTGGAAGAGCCATCTTCGATTGTCCAGTTGGATTACAACCAGAAGGTGCTGCTTGTCTCTACTTTACAGAGGACTCTGCTTTTTTACACAGAAGAGAAATCCGTCAACCAAGTTGGAACACAGCCCAGAAAAAAGTAACCCTCATAAAATCCTGATGCGGGCTCATCTATTAATTCTTACATTTCAAAGTGAATTACAGACAGCATGATCTAGGCAGTAAAATTAATAAAACACAGCAGTCTGCTCATAAAAAGCTAGTTACAATAGCTGTGTGTGATCAAACATGAAATGACAATTTTACCTATTTAGAAAGTATGTGGTTGCAAGTCTGTCACGATCATATTTTCAAGCACTATTAGGCAAAAATATTTAGCTGAAAACACTGCCAAACTTCCTCTGCAGTCCCTCTTGGTTTACTGTGACTTGCAGTGAGCAAGCATTGTAATCAAGTCTGTCTAATGGGTGATGTAATATTTGATGGGAAAAGCAAGTCGCCATCCCCGTTTTTCTTATGCACTGAAGTGAGTTAATAGGGAGAATGTATAGTAAGCACTTAAATTTGAGTTAAAGACTAGGAACCTCTTGTGTGGCCTTGATATCTTCTCTTAGGTAATGCCTCTTGGGTAAGGAAAAGGGAACCCGGTCATAGAACAGCATGACTGGATATTTCTCTGAGGAAATTTACCCTTGAAAGAGGGTTTATGATGTTTCGGGTTTCAGGGATATGAATAGTAAGAGGAATATCAAGGCCCATCTTATATGTGAAGGTTTTCTTGGGTGATAGTAATGGTGTTTCTGTGAAATGAAGGGTTTAACAGCTGAGGTCTGTTCCATGCTTCTTGCAAGCAAAGGCTGACAGTTTCTTAGCATCAGTTTGTAGTGTTTTGCTTGGCTTTTATTAATTCTGGGAGAAGAAAGAGTGCATAATAGGATGTTTTTGAGATGGACAGAGTGGCATTAAGGCTATGAAAGCTTATTAGGAGGAGTCATTTAACTTGCTTAGTTGATGTAGTGTCTGACATCCAAAGCTAAGGGGAAACTTGTTATTTGGAATTACTGCTTATGTCTCATTGTAACTAAATTTGTACTTCTGACATTTGACTGAATATTTTAATCAAAGACTTGATAATTTGTGGTTGTGAATTTGTGCCATTAGTTTTTATATTGTTCCTAAGTTGAGTATATAGCTTTTAAAATAAATTCTTTTGCATTTTAGCACTGGCAAATTTGGAGCATGTTTTATACCTGGCCTGTGTAAACAGAGTGACTTGACATTATTTGCTGCCAGACCTGGGCTTCGTCTGTGGAAGTCTGATGTTCATGGGACTGTTCAGGCCACGTTCATATTGAAAGATGTATTTGCTGGAGGGATAAAAACTTTTGAACTGTATCCTCGTTTAGAACCACCTGACAGAGGAAGTTACAGCTCTCCAGAGAAACACCTTGGGCTTGTCTCATGCTTTTTCCAAGAAGGATGGGTCCTGACCTGGAATGAATACAGCATCTATTTACTAGATACTGTGAACCAGGTAGATAAATCTTGTGGCTGCATATTTTTTCTTCTGTGTTTTTGTTCATGCTATGCTATGAGGCTCTGTTTTGGTTATACATTCTATGGCTGTGATTTAAATCCCTATATAAAATGAAGAAAATTATTTATTTATTGTCTCACGTTGTCATTGCAATTATATACTCACCAACTAACTCACTATGTTGTTTATGAAAATTGCATATATTTAAAGCTTTCAGTTAAGGTGTTAACATCATAAATAATTCTGATGCTTAGTGAAACATATAGAAACCTACAGTCTAGGAATTAGTGCAGAAAGATATTTTAGGCCTATAAAATATGCCTATTTGTCTTCTACCACTGTTGGTGTCTTAAAAAAAGATGTATTACCTTTTATTTGGCATACAGTGAAGTGTTAGCTATTTTGTTGTCTTAAAAATGCATATGAATGCAAACAAGCCAGTATATTTTTGTCTAAATGATATTAAATATTCATACTGTGTTTCCCTTCTGCCACCAAATTGTATATTGCTTAAGTTGTTATATTTAGTTGCCTTTGGTTGGACAAAGAATGGATCTGCAGAATTTAAATTAGTATAAAAATGAAGTTGCATCATGATTAAAGAGTTATTTTCAGTTTCTTTTTTCTTTCTTTCTTTTTTTTTTTTTTTNATAAGATAAAAATTTTTAGCCTGTATTGTTTATGTTGATTAAAATCCAGTGAATGCTTTTGTTAAGAGTACCATGTTGTGCAAACACTGTGTTAATCTAATGCCAATTATTTCTTTCTCTGCTGACTCTTTACAGGCTTTGATTGGTGGCTTGGAAGGATATGGTGATATTGTGTCTGTGTCCTGTACCAATAACGAGATTTTTCTCTTAAAGGGAGATAGAGACATAATAAGAATTTCCAATAGACCTGAAGGACTGTCATCAATAGGTTTGTATAGATTAGTAAGCTTACTATGTAGAAATTAGTGAATTTAGTGTGTATAAATTAGTGTTTACATGATGGAATATGGTCCTATTGTACTTTCTTAATAACAAAAAGCCAGAACCAACAAAACTGAAACACATTAAACCTCAGACAAATCCCTTCACATTATTGCAAAAACCTGCCAGGTCCTGTAGAGTTACTCATCTGTTTTGATAGGTTATATTTAGAGATCTGGTTTATCTGCTTATCTGAGCTTCTCTTTTGGCTGCAGTGAGAATGAGGGCATTAAGAAATTAAATATGCTTGCCTTTTTTGAGAGTGGGTCAGCATTAACCTAATGAGGCATCTCTAATCTGTGCATTTGAGAGCTCATTCTGAACCATGATGCTGAAGCAGTCTGGATTCCTGATCATGGTTATCACTTCAGGATAAGTCTCAACACCTGAATACTTTGATTCTGTGCCACCTGTCACCAGCCATGTTCCAGGGGAAATCTCAGCCTTCCTAGCAATGAAAAAGAAAGAATTGGCAAATAAATCCAAAGAATGCTCACTAAACTTCCAGAAATAATTTGACTCTTTCATACTTGTTGCCATCTGAGTTAAATATTTATGTTACTAGAGCTCTTTAAAAGGGGCTACTAATCCATTTAAATACTCCATCTCAGCTTTGTTTTAGCAAAATGCTAATAAATATGCTATGAAATCTCATTCAGTGCTGAAGAACTTTCTTGTCATTGCATGTTGGCAATAGCTTTAGTCTTTTAGGCAGGTCTTTACTCACAAACCTCTAGAGACTGTCTATGTTTTAATCTCAACTTTCAAGTATAGTTTGAAAGGAACCTTTAGAAGTGTATTTTCTGCTAATCACTGCAGTGATTTACCTGATAATTTTCCTTGATTTTTTTTAAAGCTACTGAATGTTTGAATGAAGAAGTTAAAGAATATAGGATGGCACTTCAGTATGTGATAGAATTGGATCTTCCAAAGCTGCAGACCTGTACTATTCCTTTTACATAAATTCAAAATTTTGCTACTAGAAGTTTGATACAGGGTTTGGGGGAAGTGCTTTCTAAAAGATTAATTTACAGGAAGTTTATAGTGTGCATGTGGGCACACAGGTATTTATTTTTAAATGTTGTTAGCTTAGAAGTTTTTCTTTTCATAAATATTCTTTTCATTCAATACTCTCTGAAATTATGCCCCTATTCATTTGATGCTAGCATTTACACTTGAACTAGTATTTGTAGTTTTATTTTTCTTTTGGACAATTTCAGATGTGAATTCAAAATTGTCAAATCCTTTAACAGATACAAGTCCTAAATTGCTGACCCCGTCATCAGTAGTTTCATCTGTATCATCCAGCCCTTCAGTGGAAACAGAAAAAAAAATGGTTACTTCCCATTCAGTTACTGGTGATAAAACTGGCACTTCTTCTTCAGTGAAAGATGATCTGGAAACTCCAACACTATCAGAGAAAAGTTTTGATAGAGTGGGAGACTTGAGCAATGAAGTCAGGAAAAGGGGCTGCTCTGTAGTAAGCGAATCACGGAGCAGGAGCAGCTCTGTGAACTCTGTGGACAGTGGCTCGAGCTTTATGATGTGTGCAGACCAACTTCCAGAAGCTCAGAGAGAAGGTCAACTTTCTTCACAGCGGTTCAGCACCATCAGCTCTGAAGATTTTGATCAAGAACTTATTGTAAAGCCAATTAAGGTGAAAAAGAAAAAAAAGAAGAAGCAGGGTAGGTGGAGCAGAGATTTCCCTGACACTGCACATTGTTAGAGCACGTTACGTGAAAGAGTCTGTGTTTGGTAGGCTTCCTGTATACTGTGGTGTTGTGCTTCTGAAATTGCTGAGGGCTTGTGATGAGCCATTTCTGTTTAGGATGGAAATCTTTAAATGTGATAAATTGATTAAGTCTTTTTAGATGTGTTAGGAGTTTGTTTCTTTTGTTTTGCTTCATGTGAACATGCTTTGAGTTCTAATGTATTCGTTAATGGGACCATACAGTGGACTCTGTATCCAGTTTTATGTTGGAAATGTGTAATATCTATTCATCCTATTCAGAATATTTGGCAGTGTCTTTCTTATCCATCTTCTTTAGTTTGATGAAGTAGTGTGAGTACTCAGTTTTTTAAATTGTTTACTGTATTAAGACTTTTTTTGGCTTTCTATGTATCATTTAATGTTAAAGTTGAAAAATATTCAGTATGGTTAAAATTTAGACTTAGCTTTGTTCTTCTTCCAGTTCTAAAAATATTTTAATTTCTTTCTTGGCACTGGGATTTAATAAATTTTATTAATATTGCTTTTCTCCCTTTTTTTCATGTGTGTGTGTGTGTGATGACAGAAAGTGGAACAAGGAGAAACCACAGCTCTCTGGAAGGCACACCAATTTATGAGCGTCAGCTTTCTGGTGACAGTCCACATTCCTTGAATGCAGACTCCTTTTCCATGACTTCCAGCATAATGAGTGGCAGCATTGATCATTTGAGTACTGGATCTCCAGATCAGGAAAGTATGTTCAGTATGGAGTCCCATACAGTCTTGCAAGAAGATAATGGTTCTGAAACTTTCAGTGTCCTGCAGTCTCCTGAGTCAGCAAATGTACTAATTAATGAAGAAAATGGAGATGTGGCTGATTTACAGAAATTTCCAAACAGTGACAGTGGCATGGGTACTTCAGCTGTTATAGATATTTTGATGTCTGCATCTCCTCTGATGCTCACAGAAGACTTGACAAGCAGTGTTGGTGGTGAATGTAATGGTGGTGTGGTTTCTGCAAGCAATGAATGCTCTCCTGGAAAACTGAGCCAGGAGGAGGAGGAGCAGGATTTTCCTACATTGTGTAAAATAGATGAAGACTTGGATAAAATGAAGCTGCAGGATAATGAAAAATCTTCTGAAGATCCAGACCTTACAGACCAGATGTTTTTGGAATGTGACAGTATACTTGGTGTCCAGACGTCCCTGACACCAAAGGGAAGTGATGAAACTGGTGAGGAAGACCAGCAGCAGCTCTCTCTAATCCACAGTGCTCTGTCAGACCCTTCTGCACTCCAGTGTGACATCTCTGACAATGTTCATTCAGATAACTGTTCCATTTCTGGCTGGAATTTTGAAAGTGCAATCAAAGCTAAATGTAGTACTAGCACTGCTGAAAGGGTAGCAAACACTTATGAAAGTAAGATTGAAAAATCTGCCTCAAGTGATGAAGAGGATATTTATGGACATGGATTACCATATTCATCTTCAGAGACCAGCATGCCTGAAGTTGGTGCTGTGCCTGGTGCACAGGATGTAGCCAAGATAAGCCTAGATGAAATGGTGCTGTTAAAATCTGATCAGGTATTTCTTTTCAGTTTAATTAAAGTATCTTTAACATTAAAAAGAAACAGCTTTTGAAAAGAAACATTCCTGCAATTACTGTCCTTTACATCTTTAGGAGAGCAATTTTTTTTTACTTGATTCAATACACAAGTAAAGTATAAAGCCAAGCAACAGTACGTGTTGTAACTCTTAAAAAATGTGATGTATCTGACTTCAAAGTGGGTGATGTGTTCTTGCAATGCAAAGAAGCTGTTTTGCCTATATTATTCCCAGCTCAACAAAAATGCTGCTAGAAACCCATCCATTATAGAGTGAAGAGTAAAACCCAGTCACGCTCAAAGGCTGCTGCTTTTTTGGATCTCCAGTAGTGCTAATTCTGTATGATGCTGTTCCCAAATTCAGCTGACTTCATTAAGAATTAATGCTAATTATCTCACATGGCTGGCTTCTGCTTAAGGATTATTTTAATTCTAAGTACACAGAATAAGGATTAGTCTTTGCCCCCTAGCCTGCAGTAGTTAGTACTGTTTAAAATGTTGACAGTTTCCTTCTTCTGTTATTCCTCTTTCCTCCATAGTTACTTTGTGAGTAATCCTCATAGATACTATAGAAAATAATTACTAAAGTTAATTGTAAAATCTGCAAAATTGCCAGAATCATTGGGACTTTTAGCAGAAGTCTTAAGAAGGAGATGCAGTTCTTGTAGGGTGGGGAATATTGTTTCTTTTAGATCTGTATTGAGATCAACCAAATATTCATTCATAAAGGTTGAGTTCTAAGTTGATGGTGTCCTACCTACTGACAACTGCAGCCCAAAGTGCAGAAGATTTTTGTTTCAGGTTATGGCATTCTTACACTCTGTCATGTTCAGAAACCTCCCCTGGTAATGTATTCAGTGCTTGAGTTCACCTCATGCAAGCAATCAAAATTTAAGAGAGCAGACTAAACCAGATTTCTGCAAGACGTGGTTCCTCTACCATACAGAGAGTACCAGAGTTGGATATTCAGCTGTCTCTGCCCTTCAGCTGTCTTGTTGCCTTTGCTCATCACTTCCTAGACAATTAATAATTTCCTGGAGTACAGGCAGACTGTACATTTTTATATATTCCTTCTTTGGATGATGGGGTGGAGGGGTTTATTTTTTTGTGAAACCTGTTGTTTGAGCAGTCTCATTGTGCACATACAGCCTTAGAGAACAGTGGCAGATGTAGTTTTATTTTACACAAGGCAAATTTATTCATTGATTAAAGTACTTAAGTTTAGCTTTTTTAAAATCAGAACGTGGGAGCTGCTGTTCTTATATACACAGTTTTTATGCAGTTTGAGGACACCTGACACTGTTCTGACTCTACAGTTTTTAGTTTGCAGAGAGCTGGATGGGATACTCTGGCCCTGGATATGGCATCCTGAGCCTGGTTGTCTCAGAAAAATACATTTGGTGCCTGGACTACCGAGGCAGCCTGTACTGCAGTCCCCTCCCTGCGGCCGGGCTGCGCTGGCAGAAGTTTGAGGATGGAGTCCAGCAAGTGGCAGTTTCCCC